GAGAGAGAGAGAGAGAGAGAGAGAGAGAGAGAGAGAGAGAGAGAGAGAAGAGGGTTGGAGTTATGCCGGGTAGATACGAAAGTAAAGCAGGCAACAAATGATGAGAGATATGTAAGGGAAGGGGAAAAACAGGGCAGGAAGGCAGACTTTGTACCTCTGCTCCAGTGTAACCACTAGCACCAAGAACACCAATCTTTGCACTGTTGCCAACCGTCGACATCTGTTTTTCGCTCACAGGGCTCACAACCGCAGCAATTGCACCACACCTTTTCCTACGCATCGCACAATGTTGTTGATGAGGCAACCGCAGCTGCTCTCCAGCAAAGCCCGCGCCATTCCACCTGCAACCAAGCCTCACCTGCATTCAAGATCAATTATCGAGGTGTCCCCAGAAAGACTGTTACCGAGCCATTTCTCTCTCAATGACGCACACACACACACACACACACACACACACACACACACACACACACACACACACACACACACACACACACACACGAACAAACAGGAAAGAGACAAAAAGAAGAAGGAAATATTGTCTACCATCCACTCCTCTTTCATCAAGCCACATGGCTTTTTTTACATTTTATATTTTTCGTTTCTTCAAGCCACATGGCTACTGTGATGGTCTAGCTCAGCATCCTGCTAGAAATCCGATCCAGGTGCCAGAACGCTTAGATGGTCAGCCAGGGGGCTCCTTGACAGGTAGTGTGAGAGATGTAGTCGCTTTGTGAGTGTGTCTGTCTGAGCAGGTTCCTGCGCATGAGCCTTTCATTTTGTGTGTGTGTGGAGTACGAGCTGTAAAAATATGAAGTCAAGAGAACGGATGAACCGCCAATGGGCCTAGCTCAGCCGGTACACCCATGAACTGTTGAAATACCAACTCGGATCGGAACCCAATCAACTCAGATGAGTAAACCTGGGGCCAGTCCGTTTGAAGATGATATTTCAAGGCCATCACCCTTTGAAAAAAACAAAAAAAAAGAAGAAGAAGAGAACGGAGGGACCATACGTGCTCTCTCCCTCTTCGGCAAGTTCGCGGTCCTTGACATTTAAGTGGTTGAGCCAGAAGTTCCCGCACACCTGTCTGAAAAGCCACACCTGCACTCACGCCTATCACATGGACCCAGCAGAAGCATAGAGTAGATAATATCTTACAGTGAGGGCCCGAGATGTGACATAGCGCAAGATGACATGTCGCAGCTTTGCTTGCAGAAGCAAAGGAGGGCCTGGAAGGACATTTACTTTGCACGGGGTGTGTTTTGAATCAAACGGGTGGGTCTGAGAGAGGGAAAGACAGCGGGCATGATGAGGGGTGTGCATTACGCCTTCTGTGAATGGAGAGAGGGAGGGGAGGGTGTCCAGGTGGGCCCCACTATGCTTTACATGCTTGTGGGGCAGTGGTGACGGGTATTGCATGACAAGGGGAAGCATCAATGGGCATCACAATATGTCTCTAATGCATGGGATAGGGAGAGTGATCGCCAAGGGGCTTGAGGAAGGATGGGCTTGTCGACGGGATCACAACGGAGGGGAAGGGCCAAGGGGCATTAAGATGCCTTATGCGCGTACAAGGAGGGACGGAGCGTTGAATCGTGTTTTCATGGTTGGTAGCAAGGGGAGTGCCAAGGACATGGAATGATGCACTCCACTTATGGAAGATGGGAGGGAGCTCCAAGGGGTCTAGAATGATGGTCGAGATGCATGAGGAGAGGGAGAGGGGCACTAGAAGTGGAGGGGCACTAGAAGATGTTTTCTAAGCAGAGAGTGGGTAGGAGTAGTGTCAACGCGTGCCGCCATGTGTTTTACATACATGGTTGGAGGGAGGGAAAGTGCCAAGAGGGGCACTGAGAGGAGGGTAGGAGAGTGTTGAGTTGGGGATTGCCCAATGCGAAGGGGGAAGGGAGAGTGCACTCTCACACAGTAGAACCGAACAAGTGGTTCTGAAATGCCAGTCAGAGGTCTAGCAGCATGCACCCGCCACAAGAAAACAATAGTATACAGTGCAAGCTGATAATTTTTTATTTTATTTTATTTTATTTATAAAAATTTGAACCATTTCTCGATTTATGCGTGTCATCCTTGTGCAGGGGCCATGCTAATCTTCTCTGTATCGTTCCAATTTTAACGGACGTCCCGAAGGACAACAAGCTGAGATTTTTTTTTTTTTTTTTTTTTTTTTTTTTTTTTTTAAGGGCGAGGGCCTTGAGATATCAGCATTGAGCTGACCGGCCCCAGGCAATTCAGAATTACGTCATTCTGCTCATGTGATTGCATCAGGATTCGAATTCAGGTCTGTATTTCAACAGTTCATGGCTGTACCAACTGAGCTATAGGCCCATTGGTAAGCTGGGATTTTTTGTCAGCCAAACAAGGGCTTATACCAAAGGACGGAACTCTAGCTCAGCCGGTACACCCACGAACTGTTGAAACATGAATCAGACCCAAGTTCGAACCCAGATACAATCAGATGCTGACCGCAATAATACAATTCTGAATTACCTGATGCCGGTCGGTTCAACGATGATATCTCATGACCACAGGACGGAACCAAGTGATTGCAGCCTCCCTTTTCTTTCTGTGGTATGGAAAGCTGCGGCGGCCCCAAGTCTTAAACCACCAGTACACCTGGGGGCAAGGTCCCACTTGCACGGATTAAGGGATTCTGGCCGTTGATATTTGCTATCTACGGTCAAATCGCTTAATTCGTGTTAATGGGACCTTGCCCCGGGCCTGCAGGCGCCTTACTGCACGCCAAGCTTTTCTGAGTCGCCAGCGGCGCACTTTTTTTTTTTTTTTGGCTGGTGCCGCTGGCAGCGACGCACTTTTCTTTTTTTTTGGCTGGTGCCGCCGGCCATCGGGGTCCGGTAGGCCGAGCCTCCGAAATTTTCGTAGGCGACGAGTTTCGTTGTCAGCAAGGCCGGGCCCGTGTACTGGCGGTTCAACGCTTTCTGATAAGGGTGGAAGGAATAGCAGTAGCAAGATGCGGCTGCACCAAAAAAAAAAAAAAAAAAAAAAAAAAGAAAGAAAGAAAGAAAAGGTGTGGCTGCGATCGGGAGATCATAAGATTCATAACAGCCCACCACAATTTTTTTATTATTATTATTAATATATATATTTTTTTGTTACCCACCACACTTTTGGAGCACAGCATAGTGTACTTTCGTAAGAAAAATGTGCAAGGACGAAAAGGTGTCCATCATGCTTATTTGCTCCTGCATGAGCACTGCATATTCAGGACCCTGCCAACCTTCAGCACACAGTGCTTGTACTACCAAACAGGTACCCAAATGGTCATAACTCTCCTTTTCGTTCCACGGAAGGCAGAAACCCAGCCAGTCGGCCTTACAAAAAAAAAAAAAAAAAAAGTACAGCTGAGAACCCTGAGATCACATGTTTATAACAGCCTGTTGTTGACCAATCAGCTGTGTTCATTACAGACAATAGAACACAGCTAATTGCTATAGACTCTAGTATAGACTCTAGTATAGACTCTAGTATAGACTTTAGTATAGACTTTAGTATAGACTCTAGACCAATTAGCTGTGTAGACCAATTAGCTGTGTCCCTTAGCAGCATGTAGGGAAGACAAATAGGAAACGGATGATCTGAGGAAATGCAGGCTGTCCAAAAATTGGATGAAGCCTCAACAGCCAATATAGCTCTAAACCTCCAATAGAAATGGGGCACGCTCGACCTTCGAACAGGTTCTGAGAACCCAATAGTACTAGAAGTCCCCTTTTCTAGTATAGATCCAAACTGTGAACCGCTAATGCGACACCAAAAGCACTACTACTGCGCAAAGACTACAATAGAAGTCCCCTCCTTGTAAGCCCCAGCAGATTGCAGTCAGAAAACTCGAAATGGGTGAAGGGGGAAAAAAAAAAAAAAAGTCCCCTCCTTGTAAGCCCCAGCAGATTGCAGTCAGAAAACTCGAAATGGGAGAAAAAAAAAAGAAAAAAAAGTTCCCTCCTTGAAGGCCCCAGCAGATTGCAGTCGTCAAACTCGAAATGGGTGAAAGAAAAGGCTGTGGAGGTGCAGCCTGTGGGAATAAGACCCAATTGCGATAGCACAAAACCTCTCTGCATCCATTCACAAGAGTTTCACCCTATAGCTGCCGACTAATTTGTCACATCCCATGTGGCCACAGCCACTCCAGCGCACATCCCATGAACTCCTTCACACACGAATATAGCTGTCATGATCGGGTTTATTTTTTTGAAGTTTTTTTCTTTTAATTCGACCATTTCTTCTTCGTTTCGGTTTCTTTCCGGGAATCCTTGGGACCACAATCGGCACATCGCGTCCTTGGGGACATCCGTTAAAAGTGGAACGATCGATACACAGAAAATTGTTTGTTTGTTTTTTTGTTTTTTTTTTTTTTTTTAAGGGCTATGCCCTTGAGATATCAGCATTTGAACTGACCGGCCCTAGGTAGGTGTGTTAGAGCTGCATTTTATTTTACTCGTCTGCTTCCAGTGGAGTTCGAACTCAGGTCCCCATTTCAACAGTGACTCCAAATTGAAAACCAAACCAAAAAAAAAAGACATAGCCGGCAGAGGGAGAGGTCACTGGGGTTGGAGAGAGCCAAAGTGGAGGGAAAGGGAGGGGGGGGGGGGAATTCCATATGGTGGGGCGGGAAGGTGAGGAAGAGTGACTGGTGCCAATGACCGAGGCTGGTAGGAGGCGGAGCCTCAGAATCGAGGGTGCACTGAGGGCATCCGGGTGTTGGCGTAGAGGAAAGGACAGGAACGATGGGATGAGGGGCATGCACGGGTGCAAAGACCGGTGTGGTTGTGGAGAGGAAAGACGGGTGCACTGAGGGCTCCTGTCCTTTTTCCTCTTCTGGCGTCCGAGCTGCGATTGATGATTGATTGATATGTACTCGAACGGGCAGCACCTCAGAGGAGCAAGAACGATAGATAGCTACTGTAGATGCAGCCTGCTTGCAATGAAGAGGAAAAAGAAGAGGATGAGGAGGCGAATGACAATGGGAAGGAAGGAGAACAGCATTAATTTTAGCGGCGGGGAGTTCGGAGACAGGCAGAAATGGCATTTTCCACCATGATCGTTTATTGTAGTTATGTAATTCGCATCATGATATACACAATGAACAAGGGTCTTCCAGGTAGGGAGGGATAAAGCGGAGTCGTGAGCGATCAGTGTAAAAGGGGTTTACGTTTTCGAGGAGGGGTGTAACAGTCAGAGACGTCGATTTACCCTTGCGAGATCTGGACAAATAGGGAGGAGGGCAAGCTCGAGGGTGAGAGAGGCTGTAGGCCACTGGCGGGAGGGATGGGAACCAAAGAGGAGAAACGAACACGGCAGAAATAGAGGATCTGGAGGGGGGGAGGGGGGGAGGGGGGGAGTCGGGGGGGGAAGCAAAAAGATGGATCTGCAACTTCGGTTGGATGTTCTGAGATAGCCCTTAGGGTTCGGGGTATTCGGATGATTGATGGGGATTGTGGGGGGGTGTCTATGATTTCAAAGTTACTGTAATTCAATAGGATCCTATTATTATTTCAAGACAAGATTGTTTGCTGAAAACCCGTCTTGAAACTCAGTAGCTGTTCATGATCATGCAAGATATCCCTACCGTTAGCCGACGCCGGGTTAATGCCCCGGTATCTCAAATTGTTCGATATACTGTATGTTTTCATATGCGACGCTGAGCCCGGTTCCCAGCACATGCTGCTCCCCCCGAATAGATTGGAGCTTTGTTACCCAAAATAATATTATAATTATAATTATAATAATAATAATAATAATAATAATAATAATAATAACAGCAATAATAATAATATTTATATATATCGTCCAACAGAACTGCCCGGTAAGAAAAAAAACATGGGGATGGCGGGAGCCAGCCGTCAAAACGATGTGATAATCAAGGAGATCGGAGAAGAATAGGGACATATGTGTGGTAGATGGTCTCTCTCGGGATCAGATCGCGGGCCGGGGGCAGACCGGGGGCCATGTCCCACTAGCAGCGATGAGCTACCTCAACGCCCGAATCTGGACGTGTTTGTGGTGACGTGGAGTTCAGGAAACTCAACACCATTTCTGCACATCTCCGCAAAAGCATCCAGATTCAGGCGTTGAGGTAGCTCAACGCTGCTACCGTCTTCCCCCGAACACAACGCACCACCATTTTGACTGCATCGGGACGGAAAGATAGTCTGTATACATTCATTATCAGGGTGCGTTATGTTCGGGGGAAGACGGTAGTGGGACTTGGCCCCGGGCGACGAGGTGGGTGCGCTCGAAGCGTGTAGAGAGGTCAGGAAATGCGAGGGCAAGTGAATCGCCAGTTGGGACAGAGGAGCCGCAAGGTGTAGGCAAAAAAATATCGGCGCATTCACACGAAACAGACAAATCCTTCATTGGCTGCATGTGGCCGTGATCGCGGGGCGAATACATTCGGGGTAATCCCGGTGCGTACGCCATTTGTGCTACCATACGCAAGACCAAGGACATTTGCACAAACCATTCTTGGTGTGTGCCCCAATTTATTTCCGATCAACCAAAATTGCCACGATCACTACATCCATTTCCCGAGACAGAGAGCCAATGACACGTGATAATGAAGGATTTGTCTGTTTTTCAATAAGCAAGCGACATACATGACAGCACACTACTCAACCACGTGATAAAAACGTTTTTCAAAGATTGAGAGCCGTAAGCAGCCGTGCGACCGAGAGAGAAGGGAAGGGGGGGAGGGGGGGGGGGGCGGGGGGGGAGGAAGGGTGTCCCCTGCTGGGGCGCCCTGCGGGGCCCGTCGCGGACAGACGTCGCGAGGGCCGGCGCGCTCTACGATTCCCCCCCCCAAAAAAAAATCATGGCGCCTTGGCCCCCTGCAGCGTCGTAAAGCGCGCCGTCACTGCTGCTGCGGAGTTCATCGAGGCGCTCGCAAGGGATCACTTCTGCAAACTCTCCTGCTGCTCCTCTCTCTGTCTCATGATAACGCCCGAAGTATAGTTGAAAAGGAGGAGAACGAAAGGAAACGACGAGGAGGACACGAAGGCGCGTAATACGCATAGCGATGGTGATACGTAATAACGATGACGACGGCAATCCCTATCCCTCTGCGGCTCTCTGCTCCCCTCCCCCGGGGGGAATTCCTTCCTCCTATTTTCATTTCCCTCCCTCCCTCCCTCCCTCCCTCCCTTCCTTCTTCTTCTCGATGGCAGGCAGGCGAACTGGAGCGAGGTATGTTGGTTGCCATCCCTTTGAACTCCGCTCCAGTTCCCACGCCGCCACACCTCGGTTGGCATTCTTTGAGCAGAGTTTTCCTCTGTCCAATGCTCTCTCTCTCTCTCTCTCTCTCTCTCTCTCTCTCTCTCTCTCTCTCTCTCTCTCTCTCTCTCCACACGGGCAGTCTTTCTCGCGCTTCCACCCTCCTTCCCAAGCCCCCAAGTGCTCCTCTACTACTCAATCCTGACGTCCAGATCCCGTCCTTCGTCTTGTCCTCGATGCGGACGTCCGTATCCCGTCCTCTCCAACACCGTTGTGCTTCTCCATCGCTTGTGTCGCTCCCTTAGGGCCTAGTAATTGCACTGCTCGCCATCCTCCAACATTTTGAGTGCATCTGGACGGATGCTCTGTCCAGATGCCTTCAAAATCTTCGCGGATGGCGAGCAGTGCAACTACTAGGCCCTTAATCCCCTGTGCTCTTGATCTCTCTCCCTCTCCCCTTTTTTTTTTTTTTTTTTTTTTTTTTTTTTGGCTCTACCTCTTTCCGTGTTCCCTTCAAAAAACAAATAATAATGATCATAAATAAATTGCCCCGTCTACCCCTTATTTTCCTGGTTAGCCCGTAACATTATGGAATCCACCGGACTGTGAACTACTACTGCTCTGCTCTTTAATATTCACATGTGTGCCCGGTTCCGCTCACAAGGCACTACTACTCCTTTTCCCTGTCTTTGCAGGGACAGGGACCATGAGTAGTGTTTTTTTTTTTTCTCTCTTTATACTTAGCCAGTTTCGCTTACGTCCCTGCGGAACTGAGAACAGCCAACGTCAATCACTTCGAAATCAATTGAATTGAATTGAATTGAATTGAATTGAATGTAGAAACGAAAGATCATCAAATCTCTACCAGCAGGTAAATGTAGCTCCTCAAACTTAATTGAAATCGGGGACCATGAGTTTCGCTCTTTCCTGAACACAGGAAAATAATTTTAAAAAGAGGTATTTACCTGATTAGTGATGAATGGCGCAGCAGGCGTCTGCGAGGCTTTTACTGCCCCAGCCAACGAGCTGAGAGCATCTCGCTGACGGCAGTGCAATTGGGCGGTGAAGCCGTGCACGTGCGCGGCGCGACACGTGGCCTCCATCGCTCGCGTCCTTTCTCCTAGTACAGTCGACCGACGGACAGCCGAGCCTCCTGCTGCAGGACCAGTTCTCCCTCCCCCGAAGTTGCGCTTCGAGGCTCTAGGGGAGGCTCTCTTTCTCTTTCCTCAGGGCCGCGCTCCGCTACTCTCGACATGAAAAACAAATAATTAAAAAAAATGGCGATTTTATTTATTTATTTTTTTTTACAAATCAACTTTGCATTCCATTAACAGAAGAAAAAGGAGGCCGGGAATCCCTCCACAAACCAACCCGGAAAGCAGTGACCGCTGGGACCATTACCCAGATTATGGTGCAGGCGTAGGGGATTATAGTCCAGTAGCAGAAATGGCCAAATCCAGACCGCTGCTCTGACATTCCCCAACCCTGGGGAAAAAAAAAAAAAAAAAAAAAAAAAAGAAGAGCAAGTCCTCCAGGGCCATAAAGGCCGAACAAACCACCAAAAAGAACAAAACGCCTCACGGCCATAAGCGCCTCACAAACCTCAAAATGGGAGGCACTATGCCTATCCCACGATCCAACAAAACACCAAGTATAAACCACAAACAAATTCTACCAAGTACTAATATTACCAATCATATACCATCAACACAGCCCAAGACCTCCAACCGCAGAGCTAACATATTCTATTTAATTCCTCCCTACCTTACGAACACAGCCCCTAAACCGCGGGACTGAAAGATACCACTCCCTCCTCTGCATCTTACCGTCTGCCTGTCTACTGCGACCCGCCCCGAAAGGTAGCAACCGGGCGGTCAGGTTGCATGCCAAAGAGAAGAACGAAATTACTAGAAGCCAAGGGACAGAACCAAGCTAAATCAGTTCTGAAGAAGCCAGTCGCTAAAGATAATACGATCGCCTCCACTCTCACTATGGTTTGGCCTAATGTCCAAGTGTCCTGAAACCAGTGTAATCCCGACAGAGATTTCTTCGGGAAGTTAACTTTCCTTCGCCAATCTGCTTGAATGGCTCTTCTCAAACCCAGACAGAAGGTGTTACGAATCTGTTTATTCGTCCAATCCTTACCTTCGAACACGGTTTCGTTCCGATGCTGCCAGATCACTGCAAAACCTGTGGCGCGGAACACCTGTGCTACATAGCCCCACCCTTTGCTCTTTGAAAGGGGGGCCGAGATACCACCCAGAAGGGTCCATTCTTTGGTCCAAACCATTGCAGAGTTTGACACTTTATTCCACAGGTTAGTAATCCATTTCCAAATTCTATCCGAGGCTGGGCAATCCCACCACAGATGGGTGAAGGATTCAAATGCCCATTGACATCTTAAGCATTTGAGATCAATACTTAGACCCCGTTCCACAAGCCAAACTGCAGATGAGGTCGAAACCATAGAGACCAACCATAACAGAGATGCATGTCTCTGGTTGGGAATAAGCGACAGCTGCTCCCAGCAGGAAGTAATTGCAGCATCAAGATCGAGCTCGCTGCTTTGCAGCAGTTGGGCCCATCTGGTGCGAGTGACTACAATTGGTAGCTTTTGTGGTTGGTTCATGGAATATCCGACCTTGGTCGTATATTCTGCCAGATTAGCATAAGAGCCCCTTGGGCCTGAGATGGGTCATTCCCACATAGCCGGATCCACTTTCAGAAGATGGATTGAGACATCTTGGTTGAACAAATGACAGGACACTGAGCGGTCCTCCTTCGGATATCCGTGTACTCTAACCTGAACCAGAGGTTTCCCTACTGGTGGCGGGGGGGGTTCCTCATCTATCTCGAGCATGGGGGACGAGCTCAGAGCAGTCCAGCACTGGAAGTTACGCCTATTGTTCTCGTTCATGGAGGTCAGTTTCCACACCCTCTGCAGAGGGGGTTCCATTTCCGCGAAGCATGTCCCAGGAGGGTCAACCCCCTCCGGGGCGAGAATTTGTCTCCAGTGTGACGGGATCGCACTAATCATAGCTTGTCTCCTGTCCTCCACCGAACGTACTTGGCCCAAAGCTCGCTCTGGAGGAATCTGCTCCAAACCAATTCCCCGACTGGTCCCGAATTTTGGGATTCTCAAAAATGGGTTGGGCTAAAACTTCGGCTTTAGAGCGAGGTTCTACCCAAATAGTGGGCCTGAGTCTTTTCCATGCTTTAATGATCATTGCCCAGAGTGGCGATTTGATCTGTCATCTCTGATAAGAGAAGAGCTGGATGCAGGTCCAGACATCCTCTGGTCGTTGCAAGTTTCATTCCTGACTCAAAAGTGTCTCTGCCAGGCAGACCCAGTGAGGGGGGGGGGATGTAAGACTAGCTTTGACCACCCAGTTACACAACATAGCTGTGATTTGCCGCTGTGGATCTAACATCCTCAAACCTCCCTCATTGCGAGGGAAACAGAGCAATTCCCAAGCCACTTTCGAAATGAAGGCCTCTCCCTCATCAGCGTAAGGTTTCCCAAGCAATTTAGCAGCACGCCGTTTAATTAAGTTATAGGACACATCACTCAAACCTCGTACCCTACCTACATACCATAAGAGAGCAAATAAGGCACTGTTCACTGCCAAAACTCGGCCGAAAAGAGAGAGGTGGGGAGTTTTACCCCACGAACTAATTCGAACCATGACTTTTTGAGTGAGGATGCTTTCTTGCATCTCTGTACAATATTTCAAAGCCACTTGAATGCCCAAGAAGCGTTCTGATTCATCATCATTTATACGCTTCATACACCACTCCACGCAAAGTGAGTACTCATTTGGGAGGAAGAAGACTGACTTATGTCAGTTCAACGCATCTTCCGACAACTACGAGTATTCGTCCAGACATATTTTGAGAGCGCCTAGGGATTCAGGCGTATTATGAGACACCGCGAAGAGATCATCTGCGAGGGCTTTCACCTTGTAGGGTGAGGGCCCTGCATACAGACCCACAATTTGAGAATGTGCCCCGATGTTGTTAAGAACTCCTTCCATCTGAATAGCGAACAGCAAGGGGCCGAGGGGACACCCCTGTCGTAATGAGCGTGTCAGAGAGAAATCCCCGGAGAGGCGGCCATTAACCATATCAGCCGCTGTGAGCATTGTATACAACATTTTTGTCCAAGTGCATAAATTATGTCCAAACCCCATCCATTTCAGAGTAGTGAGGACGTACGACCAGTTGACACGGTCGTACGCTTTCTCAAAATCAAGCAGTAAAACTGCTATATCCAGGTGATCATTTTGTACCACTTCCAGGGTTTCGACAACTGTTATAATATTATCAAAAATAGAGCGCCCCCTAATGAACGCTGCTTGATCAGAGTGAACAATCGTAGGCATATACTGAGCTAAGCGTCTGGCAATGACTTTTGCCAAAATTTTATAGGAGACATTAAGGATTGAGATCGGTCTCCACTTACAGATTTCCGATCTATCCCCTTTTTTGAAAAGAACAGAGATAACGCCTCTACACATACCTTCCGACAGTCTGCCTCCCATGAGAACCTCATTGTATATATCTCGGTGAGATGCTTACCGATTTTCGGTCAAATCGAGATATAAACTTTTGCTGAGAGGCCATCATCACTCGGGGCCTTCCCAGTGGGCATGGCTTTCAATGCCTCCAGGGCTTCCAGTTCRGTAACCGGGCGATCCAAATCTAGCCTCGCTGGAATCGATAAACGAAAAGTTGTGTTCAACCAATGTGATGAAGATTCATGAAGGTTATCACAGACTTGATGGGGATACTTTCGGGACGTAAGAATATCCTTATAATAGAGAGCAGCATATTCACATAGATCCTTAAGTTCCTTGGCTTTCGGGGCTACTTCATCGAAGGGATGTTTCGGTTCCTTTATAGGGACTGAAGACCTTCTTAGAAGTAGCTTTTGAAAAGTTTCTTTGGTCATCCGGTCATTAACCGTGATGCCTTTGACCCTTAGCCGCTCTATCCAAACTTCTGATTGTTTCACTTGAAGATCATCCCATTCTGAAAGGATACGTGTCCGCTCCTTCCCCCACACTTTCTCCGATACTGGATCTTCCAGCACGCGGGACTCTGCATAGGCAACTTATTTTTGAAGGTTAACTAACCTCTTGTTCCTTTCAAAGGCCAGAATCCTTGAAAAAACGTTTAGCAGATTTGAGAAAATATTCATACCTGCATCCCACCATTTTGCAGCTGACGTGAAATTCAAACGTGAGGTGGACCAATCCCTCCAAAAGCACTTCATCCATGCGATAAGGCCAGGTTCATTAAGATTTTGGGTATTGAACCTAAAAAGGTCTTTGCCCCTTACGGTCTCCGAAGTGATTATCGAGATGGTTACTGGGTTATGGTCCGACATAGGGTGGTATCGAGATTGTACATTCTCGATTGACTTCCACAGATTTGCAGAAGTGAGGAAGTAATCAAGGCGACGTTTGGTAATCCCGGTATTCTCACGGTAGTGAGAGTACCATGTAAAACCTGCGTCGTCTGGGCGTAGGAGTCTGAATGGATCTATCAACTCAAGTTCTGTCATGGTTGTATCCAGCGCGAATTTATCGTTAGTGCTTCTACCTTCCGATAGGGCATCCAACGTTAAATTCCAGTCTCCGGTAATAATTAATTTTTCGCTTTCATGGATAATCATCGAGAGTTCAGAAAATAAAATAGCTCTTTCCCTGATTTCTACTGGAGCATAAATACATAAGATGACCCAATAGCATTCGTCCATAAAGCACTTGATCCAGGGCCATCTTCCCCACAAGTCTGAGTAAAACTCCGCCGCAAGATTCCTGTGTACTAAAATGGTGGTACCTCCCCTCGTGTCTACAGCTAGAGACCATAACTGTGGTCCGTCCCACCAATTGCCGAGTGCAACAATCTTCTCTTCGTTTAATTTCGTCTCTTGTAAACAGATAATTTCAATGTTGTTCTAAAAAACCCAGGATTTTAGTCTCTCCTCCTTGTATCTACCAGTGGTTTCCCCTAACCCCTTTACGTTCCATGATGCAATCCTTAACTTAACCATTTAGCAGGGATCCCCGCTCACCTGAATGGATCTGGGGAGAACCCTGCGACGACAACAACCAAGCACTGGTCAGCATGTGCTGAACGTACGGGGAATTCAGTTTCTTTTCCCTGAGCAGCCTTCCATCAACTTCCGCCAAACATTCAGCTGTTTGCAGCGGCGGAATTTTCAATCTCCTGAGCTCCGATTTCCGAGGGTCGGCTATCCACGTAAGAGGGATAAGTTTCATGCCCTCACTTTCCAGTTTCTCTAACTGACCAGGGATGAAATGAGCATCCTGGATCGGGACAAAGAACTTAATTCTCTTGCCGTCACCTTCTGGGCTGTCCATAATAATACGGGGCATAGAGCAATCCGGAATGATACGAAAAATAAAACGATCGGCAATCGCCGGTCTGATCATCGCAACCATTGCCGATGGCATAGGTTGCTCTGGTGCGGGGAGAGAGATAAACACGTTGGACCCATCCAGCATAGACCACGTTATGACCCAATACGAGTTGCGAGCATAAGTGCAGAAGAGAGGCAGAATTCGGTTATCCACTTTTGGAAGTTGCCCTTTCGAAAGAGAGGCGACCGACGTGCGGTGCCTAGTGGTTTTACTGCCCGGGGTTCCAATTTCCCTAATCTGACCCTGTGAGGGATCTGAGTGGGGAAGAGAGTTATCCGAATTCTCGCCCTGGACTCTACCGCTTGATGCGACACTATCGTCCATACTCAACCGACGGTGCTTACCTGGGGTGGTTGAACGTTGATCCGTGAGACTGCTGCTTACTCCTTTCGGAGGAAGCCCAATCTTTTCTCCATTATTGATGCTGCCCTCCGGTTGTCCTGGCGGTATGATGAGACCTTGAGCGCCTTGAGGCTGTGAACTTGTTGGCGTCGGCTGATGACTAGTTCCGGCGGCCTGTGCCCCTCCCACCCCTGGGTAAGTACCCAAAGGGGGACGGGGGGGGGGGGATAAAACATTTGCGCTGGATACATCACGGATTGGCCCCCCTGCTGAGAAATCCAGGGGCCGAAGGCGTGGGCCAGGCCGTTTTGCAAGCCATACAAAGGCATGTGCATGCCATGCTGAACAGCCATGGGGTCGAAGCCTTGGTTAAAAATAGGATTGAGGTGCGCACTTGGGAACACTGGGAGAGGTTGTCCTTTCGATGTGGTAGCCTGACCGCTCGTTCCGCCTGCTGCGAGTTGTGATGGAGATGAAGAAATCCCCATATAGCTCATATGCCCTACATATCTTGATTGATGTTGACCTTGTTGCTGACCTTGCTGTTGAGACTGGTTGTTGATCTGGCTTCCTTGTTGAGCTTGGTTGCCGTGTTGACCTTGGTTACCTTGGTTGTTGACTTGCTGTCCTGCCCCTCCTCTTCGACACTCGTTTGCAGTATGAAAGAAAGCACGACAACGCTGGCATCGAGGAGTGTCAGACGATGCGAGCTTGACTTCTAGTTCATCTCCTTCGGAGGTGACGACCCAGATTTTGTCCTTCATGTTAGGACGTGAGTCTGGTTCGAGGTCAAATTTCACGTTTATAAGCGAAGACTTCAGTCTGTTTGGCTCAATAGGGCGCCTATGGATGACAGGACCAATGGCTTTGCTAACTTGAGCTTCTAAGTAAATGAAGGAATCCAGAGGGACTTGTACCGCTATCACCCAAAAGGATTGGCGGTCTTCGTCTTGTCCCTGGTCCCTCAATTGTGCTTCAGTGAGCCATGGTTTGAAGTCAAACCGATAAGTGGAGGAGCCTATCGAGATTTCTTCCTGTCCTTTAGTAACAAGCCAAGAAGCAATAACTTTGTTCTTTGCTACGTAGGACAATACGTTGGGGATCTCAATTTTGACTCTTCCTCTTCTAAACACTTCGGCCTCGAAACTGCCGTCCTGCACTTTTTCATCCTCGTAAGCCCTAACGATATCATCTTTTACCTTCTTTGGTAAGAACCTGGCTCCTTCTCTGAAAATAATCGTCACTGTATGCTCTTTGAGCCATGCGATCTTAACCCGATCCAACGTGAGGTTCACTTTGAACCTGACCTCTCTTCCTTCGATCGTCATCTCACCAGGATCAATTTCAGTTGGGAGGATCCCTTCCTCATAACAAAGTCTCATTAGTTCCTTCACCCTATCTTCATCCTCTCTATCTATCCCTGGGTCTGGTGGAGGGGAGCGAGGTTCTCTCGCGTCCTCACCATCCGCCATCATTCCTGACTCCGTCTTGATATACTAAAGTTATGAAGAAAAGATCGTGGGCAGGTAAATACGAAATCCTCCTTCTCTCCAACTAGACGAGGCTGACAAGAATAGCTTCTAAGGGAGCTAGTTTCACTTAGCGTCTTCTAACAGTGTCGGGTTCGGTGACGGCTGGGCGAAGGGGGAGCCACAGATCGTGACAGCCTAAGTAGACTGTGGCGAAAAGCTCTTCGAAGACAGTGCGGAGTAGTACGGCTACCTCCATAGCCGTGGCGCCATCATGTTGGTGACGTCAACGACTGTCCCAGTCCCGTCGTTACCGATGGGATAGCGCTTGGTCCGAAACGTAGCGCGCCGGCGGAAGCACTCCAGACGAACCCTCTCAGTTAAAATGGCGATTTCCGTGTTCTACGGAAATGTTCGTTCTAATTTTGCACATTTGGTGAGTAGTGGAGCAAGGCCCTTAGTGAAATTTCTCAGGACTATGGTAGTCCTCGAAAAATGCCTCTTGGATCCACTGGCCTAACTCAGTTGGTAAGGCACGCAAGTGGCATTCATGAGGTCTTGGGTTCAATCCCCGTTGGCCCCATGTACCTTCCTGGGCAACCTATGCCATTGGTTCCCCCGAGTGCCATTGAGCAGAGACTGTTGATGTTCATAGGGGAAGGGGACCGGAGGGGAAGCATAGTCACTGGCCCATCGAAGAAGATCGGTCCTCGTGCTACCGGCTGACCCCTGGCCGGTATCCCCCGCCTGCTACAGCAGGTATCACACCTGCTGGCCGGTGCAGCTCCCGCATGCTCCCTGGTTGGCGGCTTGAGCACGGATGTCCTGCTACGGAGTTCCCCGTAATACTATAATAATGACAATAAAAAAGGCCTGAAAGAGGGTCCGGCCCAGATTCGACAGGTAATTGAATTGGTAGGGCAGTCTGTACCCTATTTCAATAAAAAAAAAAAGGCCTGAAAGGGGGTCCGGTCCAGATTCGACAGGTAATTGAATTGGTTGGGCAGTCTATACCCTATTTCAAAAAAAAAAAAAACTGCCGCGTGGAGTGAAGAGTGGGATTTCCGCTAGCGATAGCGTTATTCGGTGCGCTATTCCGGAGGTTTGATACCCTCCCTGTTTAGTGGTCGCCGAGGAAGCGCAGGGTTTTGACGCTACAGGTAAACTCTAGGCCCGGGGGAACACGACGGTTGGCACGTTAATGCTCTAAGTTAGTGTTTTCGGGTAACAATGGATAAGCCATCTCCGAGTAGTCAGCGCCATGATGACCTTGGTGAGGTCTGTGCTTCTTGTTTGGCAATTTCCGAACACTCTCCGAGGAGAAGGAAGACGGACAGGATGACCCCCTTATTTCGTATTATCCATCAGTTAATGCGATTTTTTTCGAAGTCTAGCAGTTCGCGTTTGGTGTGAGAGGTTTCCAAGGGCGTGCGTCACAGTAGGTGCCCGCCATTGAAGTGTACAGCGATAACTGGTTTTTAATAACAATTGAAGAAGACTCGTTAAACAAGCTATGGCATCACAAGGAGAGATCCTGCAAGGGAGAGCAAGGGGGCAACAAGGCAGTAGAGGACGTTCCCCTCCGAACAGTGCAGATGTGCCACTCTCGGAGGAAGACCGGATGAAGATGCTGATATCTAAATGTTATGACGACGGCATTTTACCAGAGAAATTTCAACATGGTGAATGGATCATCGAGAATGGAGTACGGGTTTTTGTAGTCAATCCACAACTCGACGAGCTCACCACAACCTGGCTTAAGGAACGCACCGTTACAATAATATTCCAAGGTGCTGCGAGGGATCTACTGATGAGAACCAGAGAAGACTTGATACGGGGTGATGAGAACGGCTGGCATAGAGAACGTAGTTTTGACTGTAATTCTGAAAAGGGTCGAGTGCATGCCAAGGGACCCAACGTCTTCTCTTATGTAGCGAAGTCTAGAGAGGTAGCGCAGTGGATGGTGCCGAAGGTGGAGGACGAAGTGACTATCCGAGGTATTGATTACGACATGATTTTTAAACCTTGGTGGATGCGCTCATAACTAGATGAGAGAAGAAGGCTTGAAGACAAATCCAAGTTCTGGGTTATGGCAATTTGTGTCCCCTTGCGGGCAATGTTCCATATTGAGAGTATGGTGGAAACTTCGATGGGACACGTAATAAACAGTATCCCTCCAGAACAAGATCGCACCAAGCCTAAACTCATGAACCTCAAATTCGAGCTCAATAAAGAGGCAAAAGGTAACTTTGAGCCCGAGTTTTCCATCCGTTTGGGAAGCGAGACCATCCTGATTAAGTTTGTGTGTAAACATATGCCATGGTTTACGAGATGCGGATGGTGGAACCATACGGCAGAAGACGGCTGCCCAAGAGTTGAAGAAGATGAAGCTAATCAGGAAGAAAACGTGCAGCGACAGCCAAACTCTACTCGCAACCGTCAACAACGAGGACAAGAGAATTATCAAATTCGACACGCAACTTCTCAAGACCGCTCTTCGAACACAGAAGGAGCAAACCAGTTCCATTCTACGGGTGGAGAACGGAGTAGCAGACAACCGGTTATGCAAGCAACATCGAGAGCAAGAGGTCCAAGTGGAGAGGTCCGTTGCAGAGAAAGGGGTGAATCCAGCGGCAACCAAAGGGCGTCTGTGACAAGGCAAAACCAACTACTACCTCTGCAGCAACAACATCGAGGGGCTTTCAGGCTAAACACACCCCTAGGAATTCAAGTCTCAAGGCTTGATCAAGCAATTTTACCATACTTTTCGGTTTCGCTAAGGTATGGTATTTTTTTTCGGCCACAACACGAAGGCTCAGAGGGAGGTAATTACCTCATGACCTCTGTTGGCACAAGGACTCTGGCAGCCAAAAGCGCACCAAGAGGAAGCAGCAATAATTGCTGTAAATTTTCCGAGCGTACAAAGCCCGAACGGATGAGAGGCGTCGGGTCTATGGCAGAGCAGGTGAGGGAGGTCACACAAATGGAAGATGAACATGAGGGGGAAGGGGACGAGGGAGTGGATGGACTGCCCGATGGCTCGATTGACAGAAACCAATCTCAAGGATAAAGGATGAAGGAATCCCCTCGTATTATTCCTTTGGGGGTTGAAAGAGATATTTTGGAAGATAGGGTCTTCGAAGAACAAATGCTTTTGCCGCTGGTTTGCGCAAGACGCGACCGGGAAGTCTTTGTCGTTGGCCTACTAGTTGACAGAGAAGATAACTTGATTATGCCGATAGTGAGGGTCGAAGAAATACCGATGGAAACGTCGATCCGGGAAAGGGTGAGATACCTCTACGCAGACAGATTCCCCTTTCGTCTATTCCCGGAGTTTATGTTGCCTAAACTCAGGGCGGAGGTAGCAAAGGACAAGGTAGTTCGTTACACTATTGCCTTCATCGATGCACGTCTTCCGAGTGAGGTCTGGACAGGCCTATCCTCAGTAGGACTAGGCATTTTCCCGCTGGATGCACTTTTACAACCATCCATCGATCTGATGTCCGATGTGATAGTTGAACCAGGTGTACCGACTTCATTTCTGACGGATTTCCACCCCAACATGCCCGGAATGTGTAATTGTCATCAGACCTGTTTAACAACCATTTCGTCGAAATGGACATTTTTTATTTTTTGCCGAAAACTCGTCAAAATTTGTTATTTTTGAGGGTTTAGCGTTTTACAAACGCTGGACCCCCTGGCTGTACATAGACCTCGTTTGAGACCAGGCACCTCTAGGCAGGACTGGAGGTGCCAGGTCTCAAGCGAGGTCCATGTACAGCCAGGGGGTCCAGCGTTTGTAAAACGCTAGACCCTCAGAAACAACAAATTTTGACGAGTTTTCGGCAAAAAAACTCAGTTTCAATTTCGTTCAAAAAATAAAAGATGTCCATTTTGATGAAATGGCAGTTTTTCATGAATGCCTCTCCGAAGAGTGGGCGATTGACGATGGTCAAGAAGACGAGGAAGGCACCGACGATCAAAATTCAGTTTCAGCAGGCATCCAGTCAGCAGGCCTGAACCCAGTGGTTGATGGGTAGTCTAAAGATAGCAAGTTGGAATGTGAGGGGGCTTGGGGATACAAATGGTAAACAAAAATGGAAAAGGCTAAAGAGTTGGGACTCATGAAAAATGGATAGATGTGAAGATGCTACAGGAAACAAAGCTATCTGAGGTTAAACTAGCTCAACTGACGAAATGGTGGGATGAACCACAACTCTGGTCCCCGACCAAAGGATCTAAAAAAGGGGTGGCGATGCTCATCCACAGAAGACTGGAAGCAAGACTTATTGATTCACATTGTGATATATGGGGTCATTGGTGTTGTGTTAGGATAGAGATAGGTGAGACAGAATGGGCCTTCACGCCTCTGTACGCTCTGAATGAACCTAGAGAGAGAATCATATTCTTTGACATGCTGCCACATGTGCTCCCTAACTGTGGAAATTTCATCATTGGAGGTGACTGGAACACTGTTCTCAGTCCGGGGATGGATTCTGAGTCAGATGGCCGCCTCACAACGGACAGAGTCAAGCTGCTCAGGTGGATTGGTGCTTGGAAGCTCAGAGACATCTTCAGAGACTTTAACCCAATGAAACATGAATTCTTTTGGGTAGGCCAATTTGTCCAGCACGCGGGAGTCAGAAGAATAATTGATTTCTTTCTCACCTCCGAAGTAGCAGGAAACACAGTTCGGAATGTCCACATACAAAATGCACCATTTTTTTATCACAAGCAGAGTGCATCACTTCCGCTTTGACCGAGAGAGGCTCTGACTATTTCCGACTAAATTCGCTCCTTCTGCAAGATGAAGGCATCGGTCGATGGATGGAGGAGTTTTGGCAGAGCTGGAGATCTTCCAGACAGGACTTCGATGCCTCAGTAGAATGGATTGACACAGGTCTTAGAATTATCTCCTTGATGCTGGATTTGTGCTCCCGAATAGCAGCTTTCCTGCAAAACAAGGAAGAACAAATTCTTTGAAAAAAGGTGGAAGCGGCAGAAGAGAAACTAGGGGAACACTTGATTTCGGGCCTCTTCTGGGCTGAGGAACGGAAAGAGAGATTGCAGGAGTGAGAGAGTTATCAGTGTCGTA